CCAGTGTTTAATGGGAACTTCAGTCACTTCCGAAGAGGAGCTCAGAAGTTCTCAGCAAACGTGTTCTGACTTCTGGCCACGTCACTGCTTTAAGCCTATCTTACTGCATTCAGCCGCAGTCTTTCGTACCTGTTAGTATTCACCGGTGAGGTCTATTTATGGGCTAACTCAGTTATTTCTGTACCGCTTTGGATAAATTTTAATTCGTTCGAATTCGTTTAGTTCCTCATTCTCTATCTTAAGCCCAAGTGCAGGCTTTCTTGTAAGCCCGAGAGGGGGGCCAACTATCAATTATTTCTTTGAGTGAATAAAAGGGTATTTTAACCCTTCCTTGGATTCTTCCTTGTTTCTGTAGTTGTCAGAAGGCCAGCGAATAGTCGCTAAACTCTTCTTCAAGATTCCAGTTGCAAAGGACATGTAACTTAAATAGAACTTTATAATGTCAAAAACTTAGCATATAAAAAAATTATTTCTGCAGCAATTTTTTAAAATTTTTTATATTTTCAGCATTTATAAAATACTAGTGGGCTCCAGCCAAAACACAATTTATAAGTTCTATGCCCACTTAAACAGAAAATTTAGAAAAAAAAAAAAAAATTCAATATGAATAAAATCAGTTAACTTTTTCCAAACGACAACCAATTCGTAAGAGCTCTTAGACAAATTTTAAACAAATATCAGATTCAATTTGCTTTAAATTATTTTGTTGATATTATAGTATTCTCTCCAAATTTTGGTGAACATTTAAATCATCTTAAAATAATATTTGATATATGTGAGAAAGAGAATATAAATTAAAACAATCTAAATGTAATTTGCTAAGAAAAAATAAAATTTTCTAGGATATGAAATTCAGCATGTAAATACCAGCCCAGTAATCAAATATAGAGGTTATTAAGAAATTGCAAACCCCCTAAAATATCAAAGAATTACAAAGATTTTTAGGAAGTATTAAGTTTATCATTAATAGTTATATTATAATTCTGATTCATACATTTTTATCTTACATATTTCCCCCCTTCAAAAGGAAAAAGGCGTAGCGACAGAGAAGCCTTTTTAAAGAAAAAGAGTTAAAACACTAACAAATTAAAAAAAAAAAAAAAAAAAAAATAAGTCATCAAATTTTTGTTCTGTAAAGAATAATTTATAAAGATCAATTTTTTTTTAAATTTTTAATTTTTAGAGTCCTATTAAATTTTTCAGCATTTCAGTCCAAAAGTGTTTGTGCTTGAGAGTTCATATAATCATAATTCTTCAGGGAAGGTTCTTTTTATTACAGAATATCACAAAATAAACTTTTACATAATCATTACTTATAATTAAATGCACATAAATATTTATGATATTAATTTTCATATTGATAAATTATATTTTAATACCATATAATAATAGGATTAAGATTTTCAGAATTTATGGTTTCACCGTTATCATCTTTCATTTACAATTCCTTTATTTTACCATACTGGAAGGCCTCGCAATACTTCTAAACAAACATATCCATCAATAGGGCTGTCCTCTTGAGCTAACCAGTGTGTTCTCTGCACTGGTGGCCCAGGGTGCCTAGACAGTTACTTGAAAAGGCCTCCGTTCCTTGCATTAAGGTAACTGGCCTTTGAGAATCGCACTAATACATTCCATAATAAAAAATATAAAAAATTTACATGCATTCATAAAATGAGAGCCTCCAACATTATCTTGCATGAAGAGGGTAAAAGGAACAACTGTACAGAGGTAATAACAGGCCTCTGTTGAAGGAACCAATACTCCCTCGACATACACTATACTTAACATACAATCACCCATAAATTTAACATGCATTTACCATAATTTCATATTACGTATCTGTAATAATTTCACTTATTTTTTACACCTACTTCATTTTTAGAATAATTATAAAATTCGTATTCAAAATTCTCAACAAAATTCCAAAAACATAAAAACTTATCTTAATATCCTTCCCTATGAATAATTTAAATAGCTTAAAATTAATTACTTAATTTGCTCACACATAATTATGAAAAATTAGAAAAATTAATAAACAAGAATTTCAGATTTTCTCAAAACAAACTGCAGAAATTTTAACCAAAGTTGAAATGAAAACTAAAAAATTCACAGCATATTAAATTATTTAGTTCATGAGCTAGATTCACACGAATGCAATAATTTTTTGAGCTGTTGAAAAAGCGGAAGTGCAAATAATTTTCTGTCGCACATACTTGCAAACACTAACTCAGATCGACCTTGAACCCGCTGTAATGCTGAATTCCTAAACGGTAATTCACTGATGATTTCCTTTTCACTAGGCATTCGAACTTCTCAATTTATCGAGAGATTACTTTCAATCTGTAAACACTACGCGTAATTATTTTTTGAAGCACTTGCAAAACACCACAGCAGAAGAATGATCTGTTATTTTTTAAACACTGAAAAAACAAACTTTGATGATTCACTTCTTTCACATTATCTTGGATTTATCCCAAAACGATCATTTGAAGAGCTGAATTAAATTTTTCCATTGAGGTTTCAGGCTGCAGGAAACTATCCTAACCGGCTTTAATTGTCATATTAAAAGCACAAGGAAAAGCCGGAGCAGTGTCGATGCGTGATTAGACCCATATTGAAGAAGATTTTTGATTGCGTAGTATTTAAAGAACTTGGCAGTCGAGGCAGCTTTAATTCCATTTTTATTTCCAATTGATATTTGTGGCCACAATCACTTGGCACTCTAGTTGTGCCTTTCCACAAAAGATTTACATTTTTGATATTGTTGAAGAAAGCAAGCCAGCGAAATTACATATTAGCACAGTAGAGAGCAAAAGCTGAAGTGCGTAGTTATGAAGGATGGAAGCACATGAAGAGAAAAGTTTTGGTTTACAATTCGGTGATTGGTCGTCAACAGGCATCTGGTATTAACAGTTACGTAAGATCGCATGATTAATTTGAATGACACAATGCAGATAAGTTATTACGATTTTAGAATAGAGAGGAAGAATTAATGTTAATAGTTATAATTCTGATTCATACATTTTATCTTACATATATAATATATATATATATATATATATATATATGGGGGGGGCCAAAACAGGAAACAAAAACACTTTTGATGCTTAAGATCAATACGTATGATGTCATGATTTAAATTTAATATAACAACTTTTTTTCAATATCAATAAAAGAATTAGTGTGGCAATAATGTATTCTTTCAGTTATCCTAACCTGAAAGAAACTGAAAAGCTGCCAACCGCAGCTACTTATTTAAAATGCTGACGTTAGCAAAAAATTTTTGACATACAATGAGATCACATGCAATCGCGTGCTTTCTTCAACATCAGAATATGACCTTATATAATAACATATTTAATGCTCGGCAATACTATTTTTATTTCATATTTTGTAAAACTTACAAATTCTTATTAACAAACTCACTATTAATGCATAATGAAAGCAAGCAGCGGCAAGACTGACTTTGAAATAAAGCAGATTTTTATCTCCAGCGTGTGAGTCTGTTGCTACTCGAAAAAAATGAGTATCAAAATTAGTTTTTTCAGAGTTTTAAAATCAGGACAAATTTAATGCAGAAAAATTTATGAATTTCAAAGAAAACAACTTCCAGTATGAGTAATGAAGGACCATCGTCTGATTTTATTACATTTAAAACTTTATCTTCCCCTTTGGAATGAAAAAAGAAACAGCACACTACAATTTTGATCTTATACATGATTAGTAAAAAACATAATTTAAGAAATATAAATGTACAGAATTTGCTTTTTCATTCTAAAGGCCATTGATAATTTAAAAGTTTATACCATTTGTTGGAAACTTCATTTCATTCAGAATTCCCACTAATTTGCAAAATACATTATGAATTTCAAAGACAACAACTTCCAGTATGAGTAATGAAGGACATTGTCTGATTTTATTACATTTAAAACTTTATCTTCCCCCTTTGGAATGGAAAAAGAAACAGCACACTACAATTTTGATCTTATACATGATTAATAAAAAATATAATTTAAAAAATATAAATGTACAGAATTTGCTTTTTCATTCTTAAGGCCATGGATAATTTAAAAGTTTATACCATTTGTTGGAAACTTCATTTCATGACATTCATTTCATTCAGAAATCCCACTAATTTGCAAAATACATAATAAGAAACAAACTTCTAGTCAAATTTTGGTACTTACATATTAGTGTAACCACCTTGTTACAATTTGGTAATTTTTTATAGGAAAAAAAATAATAATAATAATAATGACTGAAAAATATAAAAAATATATATATATATTAATACATGCATGCAGATTCTTATGTTCATATTTAATGTTTTAAGTACTTGTCCAGAAAAGCAATAGCTACTTAAACAAGTTTCTGTTTGCTTGTTCTGATGAGAAATTCTCAGTAATGGCTTTAAGAATAAATTCGAAGCAATTATTCCAATAGTAATTTAATGGCAAACTGTGATATTCCAGTAGAAATTCTTCTGCAGTATTTTACATCGCAGACAAGTTTCTCAATCACATATTTTTAAGCTTAAATTACACATATACACACACATATATATATCACCGAAACTTGGAATAAAACAAAATAATAATAAATAAAAATGGGTGATGCAGCTCATTAAAATTAAAGAATTTTTATACCTGTGTTTGTTTGCACAACTGCTACACATACTGACACATTTGCAAGGCAGTTAGACTATATGGTAGTCCTAATATTAACTACTAAGATGATTATAATATTAAATACCCATATTCTTCAGTAATGTTTCTTCATTTAAATCTTTCATAGAAAAATGTCAACTAAAGTTTACAAATCCTACAAATTTGCTTGCATCAAAATATATTTCATATAACTAAATAAAAGTTTGGAAAATTAAACGCAACGCAAATTAGTTGAAAATACATTTCCTTTATATTAGGCTCCATCAATATCAACAAAAACTGTTAAACTGTTAAGCTAAACAAACTGTTATTTCATGTTATGAAATTTACCCATTTTCCATATTAATGCGAGGTGGCACCCATATGCGTGATGGAGCTCGCAAAAGATGTGGAAGTGAAGAAGGTGATGTTCTAGATCGTTGGGTTTTGCTCATAACTGCAACTTGGCTACCAACCTAAATTGATGATGCAAAAAATAAACTATTAAAAAGAAACCTAGCCATAAAAGCATGTCAGTTATAATGAACAACATTTAAAACATGTCATTTGGTAACCAAATATAGAATTTGTGAGAATAATAATGCAGTTAAAAAGTTAAAAGAGAGATATGCTAGTTCAAATTTTATAAATCATATAATATTTGAAAACTTACAATAGTCCGTTTAAATGATGATCTCATATTTCAGGAAGTATTTAGGAGGAAAGGCTTGCATATACAACTGCTTTATATGTATAGTCAAACCTACTGTTAATGCATATTCATATGACAAGCCTTTTGTCCACTAAATGGGATTACAAATTTCCTATTTTAAAGGATTATAGACTCCAGAACTATCAGTTAATAGGGAGTAAGGTTAAATGTATTAATTTTACATTTTGAAATCATTAAAAAGATAAATATCATATTGTTATGTAAAAGAGTTTTTCAGAGCAAAATTTAAAGAATGCATGGCAATAATTAATTTGTACATATGCTCTGTTTGCAGAAGTGCATTTTAAAATAAAAGCATTGCTTTACATTCAGGCTAATATGACAAAAATTAATCTGTACATATGTTCTGTTTGCAGAAGTGCATTTTAAAATAAACCATTGCTTTACATTCAGGCTAATACGATACAGAACACAAAACAGTTTTACATAACTGTTGGACATGAAAATTCTAAATATTTTAATACTGTTCAACCATGCATTAAATATATTTTGAAACCATATCTTTTGTCAGAAATATTTTCCTAAAAAAAGCAAAGGGAAAAAAAGTTCCTAAAAAATAAAAGTTTTCTTATAAGTTCATTTGATAGGCATGGCCAAACTGTGGCTCTCAGATTTAGAAATCTTTATCTTATATATAACATAGAAATAAATATATATAGAGAGAGAAATCTTAATAATCAGATTTAGATCTTTTTAGAAAGCGCAGATTACTTGAGGATTTTGAAATGTCCCCCCCCCCAGATGCTATACTAAAACAGCATGGTATTCGGGCTGTCGGAGGGTAAATTTAGTGAATCTAATGTCACCAAAATTTTAACTATCATGTACATTTTTAGTGAATTAATAAAACTGATTTTTTTTAAAATTTTCTGTTAAAAGGTTTGGTGATTTCTTACCTTAAAATTTGAAAGATCTGAATGAAATAAAGGCACTAAGATTTGAGCTTTGAAATTTAAAATTTTTTTGAAGATTCAAGAGATCTGAGAATTTGAATTTTCATCTTTATTTTAAAAGTAAAATGTAACTGGTAATCTAATTTGAATCAATTATTTGGAACTAGGTTTTGATCTTAGTATGTTGGTTCTAATGTTAGTAATATAGGAAAAAATAAATTATTATGATTCTGTAGAAAACTGGGAAAAGTTTACAGCTTATTTTAAAACAACATTCCTTTGTCAAGCTGTGTAATATATCAGCGAGTTCATACAGAAAGTCTTTAATAGAAAGTACCCCTCTCCCTTGGCATATAGGCCTTTTAGGCTTTACTAAATTCAAGCAAAGCTTTCTTGCATGGCATATTCTTTCAAGCGTACGAGTTGAAAATAAAGAAAAATCTATGGATCTATTTTTAAAATTATTCCATTATTCTTCACTTGTATGAAAAGATTTTATATTGCCGTACTCGCAAAGACTATTACAATTCCTTCTTTTGATTTTTGTACACCTCTGCTAAGATCATTCTACAATTAAAAACAGAGGCAGGCAGGAGGGATAGGAACTAGAAGAAAATGTTTGTTTTCTATCTGAAATGTTCAGTTGCAACATATGCTAGTTTCAGATCTGTATATCGTACAAACAATCCAAAACTGCATAGTGAGAAAAATAAATGTTCGTATTTATATTTATATGCAATCATATAAGTTTCACAAAAACAAAATTGTCATTAATTTATTTCAAAAGCTTCTTTTCAGGTAAATCTGTTTCATTACTTTTATAACGATTTGCATACGAAATTAGGACTCTCAGAAAATCTAACTGCAGCTCTTGAAGTTTCCCGAATCCTAACACATAGCTTCTGCTGTCCTGAAGTTTGGCCACCCCTGGCATATGACCTTCATATGTTCAAATATACATTCAATTAAATGCATCTGATGTTCTGGATTATGATGAGAACTGCCATCAGAGTATTTTCATACAGAAGCCTTGATTTATTTCACATCCTTATATGCATAAAAATTTTAATCATTTTTAAAGTATGCATTAATAGTAATAATGTTTAACATTAACATTAAACAAATAACGTATTTGCATCAAAAATCAGATAATTTGTTTTGTGCTGGCTATTCCCCATGCAAGATTTTCTCAGAATGACAGCAATGACTTTTATTATTAGGAGATTATAAAAGTTAAGAAGTTAAATGTTTCACTAGCAGCTTAGTTATAGGTTAGATTAACAACTGTAATTAACTACAGAAACTAATCTTTTGCAGCCTACAGTGGATACATAAAGTAAAAAAATATTTCATCTTAAATTAAAATTTACTTCCTCATTTTTAACTTAGAATCTAAAAATTCAGTGTAGAATTCATGCAGCAACATATTGAATTAAGCAATTTTGCATCAACTGAAAAAAAAAAAAAAAAAAAAAAAAAAAAAAAAAAAAAAAGGGAGCATTTATAAGAACACACTTTTTGCTTTAATTTCACACATTTCTACAGTAAACTTATACTTTATTAGTAACAACATTTGTTGTTATTATACTTTAACCATGTTATAGTAAATTTGTACATAAATAAAAGGATGTTACCTTACAAGCTGGATGAAATGCAAGATGAGGTGCGCCATTTTCTTTCATACGAACGCACATTTCTTGCCATTCCCACACAACATTTAGATCACTACTCATTTTTAGAAGCCATATGTCTGTATACAGCTATTTATTTAAAATTTTAAGAAAGTTGTAAGATAGCAAATTGAAGATAATTCAAATAAAACTTTAATTAGTAATACAAGCACATGAAACAAAATTCTTTTAATACAGAGAAAGTTATAGTTATCTATAATTGTTGTTCTAAAATGTTAATTAGCAAATCAGCGTAACTAATTCAATTTAAAATACACTCACTTCCAAAAGTTAAGCACAGAGAGGAAAATGCTAATTTCCGGAAGCCAATCAGAATTGAGAATGCAATTCACTGCAGAGGTATATGGAAGTATGCAAATATGTTAGGTAACAGCCAATCCCGCTTTCATGTCAAGAAATATGCAAAAAAGGCAGTCTTATAAGAAGCCAGCTTTATGAAGGGTTACAGAAGTTACCAGGTAAGTGCTGATAGAAGGTGTTTAAAACTGTCGTACAATCCCTTCACTCTCCAGGTAGTCATCGACGATGTACAATTTGTTTTCAAGACATACGTGTTTCTATGACTTCCAGAAGATGAATGGAAGATTCTGAGCGCTGCCGTGCTATGGGGCACATTGAAGCAGGACAGTTAATCACAGATGTTGCTCTTTTCTTTGGCGTTCATCATTGTGTAACTTAACATTTATGGAAGCAATTCCAAACCACACAGACAGTTGTCCGAAGGCCCGTAGCCGGTCGTCCAAGGGTTACAACCCCCACAGAAGATCGATATATTGCTATTGTAGCCAAGCGCAATCGTAGAGCGACCTCCACACGTGTGACATCTGGTTACAGCGTCCATTGGTAAGGCGATATCTGCAGCTACTGTATGCTGAAGATTACATATGAGTGGACTGTATGCCCAGGTACCTCGAGTTTGTGTTCCTCTATTCATCCATTCAAGAGGAGCACGATTACAGTGGTGCCAGGAACATGTCAATTAGAATGTGTCTGACTGGGGCAAAGTCATATTTACTGATGAGTCAAGATTTGCTCTGGAGCCAGATGACAAGCGTATAAGGATATGGCGTGAACAACGAACACGCAATCAGTCCCAAAACATCACCAAACATCATGCATTCTGAGGCAGAAGCATTATGGTGAGCAGGGATTTTATTAAGATATCGCACTGACTTGCACATCTTTAAACAGGGTTCTTTGACGAATTTCCGGTATCGAGATGAAGTCCTAGAATCCATTGTAAGATTGTACGCTGCAGCAGTTGGCCCTATTTTTGTTTTAATGGACGATAACGCACGTCCCCATAGAGCTGACATCGTTGATGACTACCTGGAGAGTGAAGGGATTGCGCGTATGGCGTGGCCAGCATATTCGCCAGACCTTAATCCCATTGAAAATCTTTGGGATGCTCTCGGCCGAGCTGTATCTTCACGTTTCCCACCTCCAGCCACTCTTATTGAGCTGGAAACTGCTCTACAAGAAGAATGGTGATTGCTTAGTTCTAATAAATTTAATATTCTTTTCATATTTCTGTATATAATGATTGATTTTGTTCTATGCATAACTATGTATGCTACTTTCCTGCCAAATTTTGTGTCAATCAAAGCAGTATTTGTTGATTTTTTTGCATTTTACATCTTCAAGCTTAACTTTTGGAAGTGAGTGTACTTTGAATTAACCATCTGAAAGTTTAATTACACATAAGGAGGAAAATTTCTAGATGTATTTCACATTTTTTAAAATCTTTCAGTTCTAGTTAACAACCTCAATTCCAATCTGTCTTTACCCTCAGCTTTAATGCAAATTATTCCACAGTTGTTTTAATTTTTATCAATAGATGGCACCAGTAGTTTTTCTTCCTTCTTCTTATTGTTACTGCCTGAGCACAAGCTTTTCGTTTGTTATTTGAACTTCTGTAGCTAAAGATGAAGGTTTTATATTTTAATCTTTGAAACTAAACCCACAGATTTATGAATATTACACTGATTCTTCTTGCCTTAGCATCTTCAGTAAAATAGAAATTGATGAAAACCATTTTTATGATAGCCAAAAATGAACCAGGCAGCAATGGCTATTTGGCAGACTGTGCAGACAGACTGACCAATGTTTTCTCGTAAGAGTTTCAGACAGAAAGAAGTGCAGCTCCAAATTCCACAAAAACAAATGGTGCAACTTTGGTAGAATTTGCCCCATTTTCCATGGTTCGAAGGCAGCCAAAATTTATAATCATCAAGATAATATATAAATACCAAAATTTTAATTAACAAAACAATTTTAATTTCATTTTTAGAAAATAACAGTAAGAATAGATATAATGTGGAAACTTGAAAAAATTATGATTAAAGCGATATGAATAAATTTAAAATATAAAAATTGCAAAATGAATTGCAATTAAATTTGTTAAAGACTACAAAAAATATTTTACAATTTCATTTTTTAAATTCTATTCAGAACTTTTTTTAGTTTTGTGTAATTTCACCACATTTTCATACATTCAAATTTTCTTGATACTGTATTAAAAAAAAACTGCACTGACAATAAAACAAATACACAGTTATAAATGAAAATATGCTATTCAGTTTAATTTAGAAATAAAATTTATACAGTATAAAGACTGAGATCCGAACTCGTCGGACGATACCGGATATTAGATCATCAGTTTAAATCTAGTAAGATGGCATGTAGAAATTATAAAATAAAAAATATGAAACTGTGATTTATGAAATAATGAAGCATTTATGATCTAAAAGGTATAAAGAAAATTTAATATTTATTTATTTTATTAAACATTTTTTTCAATAGAAGTTGTTTAAGTTGCTTTCTTTTTTGTGCTAATACTTTCTCTCTAATTCAAGACAGACGTAACTTCTTGTTCAGTTACAAAGTTCCATTGTTCAGCTCCTATAACTGCTGTGTCGAGAATTCCGACTAACTTGTAAATCGAAATTTTTGCATTTACAATAACTTCTCTGTCACTTTCTTCACTATTGGTAGTGGTATCTTTTGGATCTAGAACCATACTACAGATTTCCCCATCCATTAATTTATTGATGATTGGGGTATTGTCATGGCAATGAAAATCTTCGGTTATATCATCTTCATTTATTACCACTTCTCTACATTTCTTTATAAAATCCATTGATTGGAAAATTCCAACTTTGGTGTGCGATATCTGAAAACCTTCAAATTTGCCGCTATCATCTTCATCATCCTCACCATTAAATTTGGCAGCTAGCCATAAATTATGCCAAGCATTTTGTAAAGTATCTGAAGACGCATCCTCCTAGAATCTTGCAATGCTCCACACAGTAGACCTTAAGTTAAAATGTTTAAAAAATTCTTGAATAGGCTCACCATTATTCAAGAAATTTAAAGTGGATTTTAAAAATGGTACTTTATAATTGCATTTCAGCATGTGCACTATTCCGATATTCATAGGCTGAATGATGGTTTGGAGGAAAGGATAATATGCATATACTATCTTTCACTAAAACTTTGAGTGACGGATGAGCTGAACAGTTGTCTACTATCAGAATAATTTTTCCATCATCAGGTAAACTAACTGAATTCAAATGTTGTCGAGCTTTGGGTATGAAATGATTTTCAAACCAATCATTCATTAATGCTTGTGTCATTCATGCGATTTTATTTGCAAAACATATACCGGGGAAAATCTTTACTCCTTTATATAGTCATTTGTATATTTTCAATTGTATATTTTGTAATATTTTCTGATTACAAAAAGTTTACAATTGTGCGTTCCAGCAGCATTTGTGCATGCTAAAATTGTTAGTCTCACTTTGAAATCTTGGACACCAGTTGGAGCCTTTTCTGTAGAGGTCGCCAAGATATTTCTGGAGATAACTTTTCACTATTAATGAATAATGAATTCACTTGAAAATAGTTCAGCATCTCCAGTATCAGCTGAAGCACTTTCACTTCAAATTTTTAATTGCATTATACGATGGTGATTTTTACATTTAATTAACCAACTTGCCGAAGATGTGCACTCAGTTTTTAAGTTCATTTCTTCATGAAATATTTTGGCTTGAGCCATTAGCATTGGATTCATCAATGGCACACCCTCGCTGTGATGCTGTCTGACCCATTCAACCATCACTTTGTCATGACCGTCACTTTTAGCATAGCATAACGAATAATTTTTCTGTTATTCATTGCGAGTAGAGTCTCATAATCTACAAAAAGTTCGTTTTTCTCTTATGCCATAAACAGTTGACTTTCCAATGCCATACACCTCACATAATTTTGAGACAGATATATCTTTATCAATTTTTTGCAGCAATTCTACTTTTTGTTTAATGGACATGAAAATATATTTTCGCTTTGTAGATCCTGTTGCAGCTCCAGAATTAGAAACTTTTTTTGACATAATTGTTCATACTTTAATTTTCTTAAATACATAAGTTCAAACTTTAATTTTCATAAAATTGTAATAATAACAGCCAGCAAAAAATAATAAGCTGGATCAAATTAAAAAGTTAAGGAATAGTGCAATCTACTATATTAACTGAAGTTCCTTGCAATCAGTGAAGTATAATTTTAGCCTTGCTTAATAGCATCCACTTTACATTATGGGTTATGTATCATGAGATTGGCAATGAAAGACAAGTTGTTCTGCTAAATTTTGGCTTGCTTCTATTGCACACTGAGATAATTAAGACTGAATTGCATTAGTTATTTATTATACTTACGTCTATTTCTTGCACATGCTTAAGGCTTATCTGAGTTCTGAATAAATAAATTCCAACATATAATTATCGAGGGTCAGAGCTAGATATCTTACCACCTGATGCAGTCTCTGCAGGTCCTGAATTCTTATATTAAGTGCCTCCCTAAGTTCTGAACTTTCGCCACTCCTAAATTTTAGGTTCCAGTGCTTTTCCTAAATTATAAAAATTTTGTCATCCTTTAATTCTGTTGCTCGGTGCTCCTCTAAATTAAAAAAAAAAAAAAAAAAAAGTTTCTTCTTAAATTCTTCTGCCTAGTGCAGTCATACAAAACTGTTGCACAGATTCTGGATTTATGTGACTAACAAATCAGTTATTCTCAATTTAAATAGCGCTAAATGTAATCCTTTGGCATCATTAACAAAATCTATTTTTAGCATATGGAAAGAAATTTTTGTTAAATTTTTCCTCGTCAGTATTTCTTACCGCATTTAACTTGCATCTGTAATCGTCGCCAAGCATAATGTCAAAATGAAAACTTACCATACGCTTTATTATTCAATTACTAATATTAAAAAAAAAAGAAGAAATGTTTAGACATGGCTGCATGAGTCATTACTCAAGTTGTCATGTGTTGATAAAACACATGCGGTGATGAATGAAAGCAAAAATATAATAAATAATGATTTGCCAGGTTGCCATCAGGGATACAAAATATTAACAGGTGCAAAATCAAAGATGTTTCCATGTAGAATGTTTCGGTTTGAGACCAAGTAGATATGCAGCTACAGAGCCAAATTATTGATCACACAATTTTTTGCAAAAATGATTGTTACTTCAATAACGAGGTATTTTATTTAGTGTGGAAGTGAAATTAAGAATCGGACTTTCCACATGATTTATTATAGGGGGGGGAATCAAATGCGCATGCATAAAGCATGCACATACACACACACGCACACACATTAAAAAAAATCATGGGAGAAAAAAGGTTGTTGTTGGCTTTTAGTTTGGTCCAGATTTTACATCATTCCGGATACTGGACATCTGGATCTCGGACTTTGTACTGTATAAAAATAATTTACTTTGGAAAAAAAAAAAAAAAAAAAAACACCTATGATCCATTTATAAACATAAAACATTTAGTATTTCACCTGATTTATATTTACAGATCAGACATAAAAAAATAGGTATATTACATTTTATAATGTGTATGCAGAGAAAAATCAGTAATTAACAGCTTGCACATTCATAACAATAATACATAAAGCTAACATACTTTGTTAGGTCCGCCACAGCCTCCAATTATAAGCAAATGATTTTTATCAATGGCTATCTGAAATTTTAAATCACACCTTTATTAATTCAAAAAACTTCATTCACATTACAAATTTCTGATCTTTCATTTTAACAACATAAATAAATTTTAAAAACTGCAAATGTAATCAAGCCTTTCCCAATGAATTTTTCCTGTAGATTTTTAAAAGACCTTTTTAAAACAATCAGGACTTCTAAGTATACAAGGATTGATTCTAATAGTTACAAAAATATTCTCTGAGCAAAGTTATCAAAATTAGAGTATGGCTACCAATGAAATGTTTAATTCTGTTACCAAATTAAAATACTTTGTGTACAATGTAAGTTAAAATGTTAAATTTCCCGTTTTTTGGAATTTAATAATATGTACATAATAAAACTTCAAACACAGCTTAAAGGGGGGGGGAAATGATTGCTTTCCATTGTTGAAAATCCTGTACACAAATAATAAAGCACAGTTGCCAAGCTTGAAATATGAAAAATTGGAAGTTTCCAGGAGATTCTGATTTGCACAATATCATTTAAACACCAAACTGATTCATATTCACCTTATAATGCATGATTCAGGCCGCTGAACTATTTATATCATTCTGATGTAAAATGTATCAATATTTAATTAGATATTTTAAATTGTATTTTGTTGGCCAATCTCATTTTGTATTTTTCTCACTCTTTTATAGTGAGAAAATCCTGACAAGAGAAGGAAAACTTTTAAATTACCAAAGTGCTTTTAAAGATGAAAATAAAATTAATAATTAATGTACATTCTATTGTGCGAGTGAATTTAGTTATTAATATATATTGATGTAAAACAAAATTAAATACAAATAATTAATTAAACATTGATTAAATCTTTATAAAAAGTTCTACAAATATCTAGAGAAGATTAAAACAATCCAAAGAAAAGTCATGCTAAAAATCATTAGAGGTAGAAATTATCACTAAGAAGCATTTTCCTTAATAAAGGCTAAAAATTAAAAACCATGAGATTTGTTGATCTATCAGACCAAAAGGTGTGATGAAAACAAAACAGAAATATCCTGCTAAAATCATGAGCATTCATAGCTAAAAATGTAGAATAAATCAAATCTTATTTATAAAATTATATTATTCCTGTGACACATATGCCCCTATCTTCAAACTTGAAATCATACTGACTGCCCGATAAAATGTATTTGAATTATAAAAATGATTTTAACATATTAGCATAACAGTCAAAGAGTGTTGACAATTTCTGCAATTATTCTAAAATCTGATCAGAAAAGAACTAAAAAAATTCTAAAATTTGGAAGTAGTAATCAAAAGCCTTGCTTCCCATCTTGAAACAATGGATTGTCTAAAAATGTAAACTTCAGGATGTAAAGTATTTTCCCCCTCCTTTTCACATGTCTCTGTGTTGTAATTAGAAGCAAGTCCGACTAACAATTGGGAAATAAGAAATTCGAATCATGGCAAGGGCACTGCATATTTTTCATGTTTCATACTCCAATAAAATTGTAAGGATTCTACATGGAAAGAGATGTGAAATTTTCTTGACAATTCTGTGAAAAATGTGTCAGCGATGCTAAATGATACATAAGAGCAAAAAAATACTTTGAACATTTTTGTAACCTTTTTGATACAGGTTAACAGAACTCTGCCATGCTTTATTTCATCTGGCCAATTGATGCTAATGAATTGGTACATAACTGGGCAATTGCATTGCTATTAACTTTTTCCAGCTTTTCTCCTACCACCTTTTCTGCAGTAGTATATATATTAAAATTAAAAAAAAAAAAAAAGAGAGAGAGAGAGAGACATTTTATGCATTTCACAATACCAATGAGATTATAAGCAATGACTATGCTTGTTGCATCCATTGTTTCATCAATAGATATCCAAATATTTTTCACACTAATTTTTCCCTTGATGTGATTAAAAACTGCATTACAACAATCAACAATCTTTATACAAATTATCTTCACAAAGAATTTTTTTTTAAATTAGCTTTTATAAAAAATATTGAAGACTTCCATTTTTGCCTTCCAGAGAGGGATAGTGATTTCAAGAAATGCTTTACATACATCCCATGAAAGTTCAGGATTTTTCGGATGATAGCTCTTTCTTTCTGCAGTTCTTGATCTTCCATATTCAAGCTTAGATGTTACTAAGTGTTCCATAACAATTTTTGTTTCCAAAACTGATTCTATACAAAATTTATAGAATAAAATACTTCTATTCATTCTGAAAACTCTAAGCCATTTGACTTATCTTTTTACTTTAGGCATTGGAAGCATAACTAAACTAAAATCTTAAATCTCTGATCTAAAACCAGCTTCATTGGCACCTAATATATAAAAAGCAAGTACACTTTCCCAACTTCTGTACCATGCAAGAGCCACATTTCAACTCCTATTTGCAGAGGCTAGCAGATACACACATCTGCAGCCAAGTGCCACCAATTTAGATTAAATCACAGGAAAAGTATTACTTGTTGACAAAACTCGAAAGTAAAAGCAATGAATGCTAAACAGTCACAATTCTACCAAAGAATTACAAATATATAACCATCAAATAATAAATAAATTAATTAATAAAAATAAAATTTTTGTTTAAACTGTGTCAAAATAAACAAAAATATACTTTAAAAAAAATCAAAATAAGCATTTATAGTAAGAAAATTCCTAAAACCAGCTTCTGCCCAAAGAATTTGCAAAGCATGCAAAATGTATGAACTTTATTTAAATGTGCATTTGCTTCAGATTATGGTACAGCATTCTGTAACTCTCTAAGTGGCCCAGATTTTGGGGTCTGCTCATAAAAACCTGTATTTACACACTATTTATTAGCTAACTTTGCATAAGTATTTATTTTAATCTCTGTTTTTTACAAACTTCCGTTCACTGAGATGATATATACACATCATTTAAGTATGAAAGAAAGCAAAATACTTTAGAATATAAACTAACGCATACCAAGAAACAAAAAACCCCATTACTAGGTAAAGGTAGTCCATGCCACTGAGGATGTTAAATAATGTGTCCTATTTATGTTAACTTTTTCATTTCTTGTGTGGGCAGATGGTATAGATTAATACATCAATACTAAAAGGACACCAAAAGCAGTTCTTTTTTGTTTTTGATCTCACTGTAATCAACTCCATATATTTCAAAATTGGTGTTTTTTGTTTTAGTTAAATGTTTCTTAACATGCCTTAAAAAACTAAAGAAAAGAAAAGAAAAAAAATATTGCAAGTCTTAAATGATTAGCCTTATATGTTGTAGGATTGAAAAGTTCCCGGACTGAATCTATAAATGTTAAAATTTTTTGCAGTAGTGAAATATGAGAATGTTTTCATGTTACTACATTCATGAAACATTTTGAAAATGCAAGCTTTTAAGTGGCATCGTCGCTTCAGAGAAGGCAAGGAAAATGCCAAACATGACGAACACTAAGGCCGCCCCTAAGACTTTGCGCATTGATGAAAGCATCAAAAAAGGTATCTGCGGTGATACGTGAGAACAGGCAGCAAACAATTTGCCAAATAGCAGAATCAGTTGGGACATCAGAGGCCACATATCAGCAGATACTGATTAAGGATCTTAACATACATAGTGTGTCAACACATCATTCCCTGAATCAAAATGGAATTCGAACAGAAATGGCTGGAGACTTAATCTTGGCTGTTGACAATGATCCTTCCCTACTTGGCAGAATTGTTACTGGAGACGAAAAATGGTGTTTTTTGTACGACCCGCAAACCAAGAGAGCACCGGCAACACGGAAATCTCCACAATCTCCACGGAAGTAGAAATTCTGCAAGATCACTCTAAAGGAAAGGTCATGCTAGAGGTATTCTTCGATATCCAGGCCAATGTGCACCTGAAATTTATCCCTGAAGGACACACTGTGAACAAAGAATTCTACATCGAAATCCTGCGTTGTTTGCACAAGTCGATCCGGAAGAAGAGACCAAAAATGTGGGCTGAGCAATCATGGGTGCTGTTGTATGACAACGCTACTGCTCACCGATCCCTACTCATCAATGACTTTCTTATGAAAACAAATGCTTTTGCCTCATCCTCCTTACTCACCTGATCTTGCACCCTGTGATTTCTTCCTATTTCCTGAAATGGCAAGATGTTTGCGAAGTCATCGATTCAATCTTCAGATGAACTTCAATTTGCATCGCAAACTGAATTAAAGGACATGGCCAAAAATGGATTCCAGACATGCTTCGATGGCGCTAGCAAAAGTGTGCTGTTGCACAGGGTCTTATTTCAAAGGAGGATGTGTTTCTGCAATTTAATTCATAATATATTTTACGTTATAGACTCAGTCCGGGAACTTTTGAAACCTACCTCGTATTAAATGCCTACAAATAAAAAAATAAAAGGTACAGGAGGTAATAATAATTGAAAATATTGTGGCAACAAAAACGGTATTAAAGACTAGTGTCAGACTTAAATAGATATTTTAATATGTGGTGGATGTTTCTGGATTTATGAAGCAAAATTTACCATGTATGACTTTGTTTAACTTTATTTCTGTTTCACACGAAAGATCCATTCCAGATCTTGTAATATTATTTACTTATGAATAATTCAAATTAGAAATGCCTATTTATTGTTGCTAGCATTTTCATGACTTATTTTGTAATTTATTTATAATTTTATTAATATAGCAAGCAGTGTTAATAAACTGACATACAATGCTTTTACTTCCGGATTTTTTTATCAGACTCCAAAAAGCTTTAAACCATGAATTCATTAAACAAATTGGTCATAATCATCACTCATTGCCAGTTCTTCTACACAGAGGTTAGCTCCACAGAGGACCAATAGAATTATGAGTGCTAATCTTGCAGAAAGTTCAATGTATTCTTAAAGTTTCATTTTATATTATATAACTGGACATAATATATACTTTCTAATAAAACTATTTATATAGTTGTATTTTTAAAAATTTCACAGAAATCCCAAATGATTCAAAAAGAGCACAACTGTTAGCAGCTCACATTTAATATAGCTATTACTAGTCAAAATTTTAACTTCATAAATAATTAACACACAATAACACGCCGAACAAGTACTAATTTAGAAGTCAAACAACAAAAATCAGCATTATATTTTTCAAATTTTCACAGGAATAGTTTCGATGGTTTTACCGAACCATCATCCTCAGCTGCAAAAGCGCAAATGACTGAAATCATACCGAACCATCATCCTCAGCTTTTGCAGCTGAGGATGATGGTTCGGTAAAAACATCGACACTAGTCATGTGAAAATTTGAAAACATAATGCTGATTTTTGTTGTTTTGACTTCTGAATTCATAAATAATGTTTATACAATATCTTAATTCAAATTACGAGCAAATATCAAATTCGTGTATAAGTTGGGGGAGGATATTGCAAAAATCTTAGGAACTCTACAAGAATGTCTATAAATGTTGTCTGAAAGTTCAACAGTAGATCCCCTTTCTTTAAGAGAATGACAACAGGCATCAAAATATGGATCTAAATCTCAAAAACCTTCATAAAAGCATAAACACCTAAAGAAATCTCAACTAGTCAGACTGAAATTAAGAATTCTGCTGACTATTTTCACTGAACCACTATGAAGTTTCTACCTCCTTGCAGAAATGTTATTAGCAATAAATACTATGTAGAAACCCTAAGATCTAAGAAGCTGTAAAGTTAAAAAAGCAGCAAATGAATTAGCTGTTTCTTTAGCATCATATTAGTTCTAAATCAAATTTCTTCAGCTGCATGCTAATCCCTGGCCCAAAATGAACTCAGTGACATCACAGCCTTCTTACTCAGTTCTTACTGACACCATTCCATGCAATTCCTGACTGCTTCCTTAGTTCAAGAAACAGCTTTACAATTACCCTTTCTTCCAAAATCATCAGAACATCAAGGTAACATTGAAGGCTCAGGTGCTGGGCACTTCAACAGCCTCCTAGGCTGGGAAAGCCACACCCTGTGTGTAACTCGTGTAAAATAACATATCTTTTTCTGGCATATCATGGTAAAGTTCATAACAGAGAAAATTCTCGTGATAAGCAATGAATGTTATAAGCAGTGGGTGAGCCTTGCGTATGTACAGTACTAAGAGTCAGTCGAACCATAAGCTGGAGATGTAAAAAGCATAAATTTGAGTAACACATGCTACTGCTTCGTCTTCCAGTGCTCAAATGAAGGAGGAATAGATTGAAGAGCAGGTCTAGGAAGTGCTGGGAGGAGCTACTGGGTCACGTGTGCCAATAGCTGACCTGAAAAGAAAGTGCATGGTCTTGCTCGTCAGGCATTGGTTGGGGGCGGGACTTAATTATAAATTTAACTTGACGAAAATTCAGAATTACAAAGTAGTAAATACTGGTAGAATTAAAAAATAAAATACGTATGAAAATAAAAGGATCATGTGCTGAGATACTATATATTGGCCTAAATAACTAGTATGTGAGAAAACAAAGATATTTTGTAAAGCAAGGTAGTGAGAATTAAGTAGTACAAGGTATTAAATGCAGATGCCGACACTTTTGCGTGTCTTTAAAAAACCTAAAAATAATATTAAAATGCAATTTTATGATGAGAATTTTAATTAAAAACATAGGAAAATGATTCTCAAATGTGAGTACAGCAAGATACAATTAAATTGAGTACCGGAGTACTGCTCCGGGTCTCTTTTTGTTTTCGTCGTCAGTATAATCATAGTTCAATCTGAGAATGAAACTGTTATTGACTTTTCCGATATTGTTAAAGATTTTTTTTGCTATTTTTGCAATGCAAATAGTGATGCTATCAATGTTTAACTCATTATGGATGACCTCGTTTCTGAAAAACCAGGGACTATTGGAAATTCTTCTTAAAGTGATATTCTGGCATTGCTGAATTTTAAGCATGTGAGTTTTACATACATTCTGGCATTGCTGGATTTTAAGCATGTAAGTTTTACATACATAATCCCAGACGGGACAGGCATAAGTAACAATTGGTCGCAGCATGGATCTAAATACATGAAGTTTGTTATGAATATATAAAACAGAGTTTCGGGCAATTAAGTGGTTGAGTAATGCTCTAGTACCCCAAAACTTATTCAAAATATGTGTGATGTGTGGGGCCTAAGTGAGTTTTTGGTCTAAATTGACACCGAGGTATTTAACTTGCTTGGCCCAGGGAATGCTGACATCGTACATCTTGAGGG